GCTTTTAAGCAGTTGCCTCATGAAAGGCTAGATCAGGAAATATCTACAGAAAAAGTTCATGCAGCGACATCAGAAGTGAAGCATTACACCTGTTAGAAAGCAGAGCACAATAAAAAATTTAGTGAACAAATCCTGAAGCTCCTCCTACTCTAACACAGGAAGTAAAACAGTGTATTGAATCAAAATGAGAGATCTAGGTTGGCATAATGGCACAATTACTCAATTTGGAATTTGGCTAGAATGCCATCATTAATACACAGCGTGAACTCTGGATACATAAGGACTGCAAGATCAGGACCCATATAATGAAGGCATCATTTATACACTCCCATGCCACAAAGATATGCTGTTACTCCTGAGTTGAAAATTATAGCTGCTTATTAAAAGTTGGACTGCTATAGCAATTGTGTAACCAGAGCTGGTTGAAAAAATGTAGAAATGATTTTTGTGAAATTTTGAAGTTGCTTCTATTTTGCAAGTTGAAGAGAGATCCTTTTTGTACTTTTCTCACTGTTTTAAGCAATATTTATCAAATGTCAATCAATTGTGTTTTGAATTATTTCTTTAAAAACAAATATTTAATAAACACAAAGTTATAAGGAATCATGATTTACAGGACAAGAAAAATGTAGTGCTTTTGAAAATGAATTCAAGAAACAATGTGGTAGAAGTTTCACCAAAACTCTAAATATTTTATTGATGTAAAAAAAAAAAATTATAAAAATTTAATTTAAAACAATTTTTTTTTAAATTAAGAAAAATTTTGGCCAAAACATCAAGCAAGCAGTTTTGACCAGTGGTGTTTGTGAACTACCATCATGTTGGTTAGTGGACAAGTTTTATTCCCAGTCCTAGCACATGACATTAAAATTAATATTAAGATTACCACAGCAGCTAAAAGTTGTGGATACAGAGAAAAGCTCCTATTATGGTACATTGTATTTGTCTTTTGTCAGGGTTGCAACCAGGGTTGCAAAAGTTGAATACCTCTGGCAGGGGTCATTTGCTTTTCACTCCAGCGGCTATTGTTCATCCTCTTTTAACAATTGAAATGCAAAGAATATCAGCCAAAACCAACAACCACAAGCTAATCTATTATATACATATACAGACCAAAAAAAATCGCAAATCACTTAAAATCAAAGTGTAAGACAAATACAGCTACAAGAAAATATAAGGGAAAAATAACATTGGTTAGTATGATAGGCTGTATCTCAGGGTGGTTGTTGGTTTTGGCTGATATGCAAATAAAAGAATATCAGTGGAAGTCAACCACACTGGGGAGCCCCCTGCACTCCTGTGGGATGCTCCATCTGCCCACCATTTCAGCATTCACGAGCCACCTGGTACCTTGAGGTGTGTAGAAAAAACATGTAAAGCTGTGTCTATGGCCGAATCGCCAAATCTTTCCGAATCTCTCTGAAGCAATTTGGAGGGTTCCGATTTGATTTGGAGAGATTAAAAGGTCTCCTGATTTGATTTGGATTCAGAGATTCAGCCACCGAATTGGGCCGAATCTCCACTGAATCAAACCAGGGACTGAAGCTTTTGTACCAAGCACCTTTTTTTTTTCTTTTTTTGCAAAGTGGCTGCTTTTGTTACATACCCAGCATTACACTCTTTATGCCAGACACCTCTTTATTATACCAGTAACCAGAAAAGAGTCTCTAGACCCTTTCAAGATATCTACATGGGTGAACATTTTTGCTCATATGGATCTTTTCTGAGGATTATCGTCAAGTCAGGAATTTCCTTAGAGCTGTTTGAAAAAAAAAATTATTATTTTTTTTTACATTTTCTGTTAAAAAGGAATAATGATTTTCATGGGTTTTTTTTACTTTACTTTGTAAGTCTCGCTTCAAAGTACTGGCCCAGGTCAGACCTGTATAGCTTGCAATGATTTCTTATAACTTACAAAAAGGTGCAGCTGGAGATAACAGGCAAAATTAGTAGGTCTTATGGAAACTGTGAATGGTTTCCAGCCCTGGGGAGGAGGCCAGGGTGGGGAGGCCTGCTTGGCAGGTCCACAGGGGTGGACTGTCAGGTCCACAGGAAAGTAGTCAGATGGTGGTGAGGGGCAAAATTGCTTTGTCAGGGTTAGGTGGGGCGTAAAACAGCACAGCCATGGTGCTGTGACAAGTGGATGGGCTTTCCCAGCCCCAGAATAGTGCTGGGAATGCATACAGGCATGTTAGGCCACATTAACTCATTTTAGATCAGGGTAACCCAGACTGATCTGAAGTTAGATCACCTCTGAGGTGAGCCAACTTTAGATCGAGCATGACATTTTTATGGCGATTGAAGCCCTGTGAATGCCTGTACGCTCAGCCATTTAGATTGCCCTAAACTCAGTAAATGTAAATGTAACATTTCAACATACTCTTGCTATGTTTTAGATGATTCCTTTATTCCAGCAAAATAAATGAGATAAAGTGAATGATAAATTGAATCCTTCCTTGCACAGTTGTTAAAATGAGCATTTTACATTTGTTTCTTTAAAGTGTGCATGTATGTGTGTGCACGTGTGTGTGTTGTGGAGGGTTCCAATAAGAAGAAATATGCGTGCTAATGCTTCCTGGGACACGCTGACAAATAGTGTGGCATTTCTGAGGTGTAGATTAAAGAACTTTTCTATGTTCCAGCTCTGTGGAGTTTGTTTTCAAATGACCTTATTCTTAACCCAGGTAGCTAGCTACATGTAAATATTATTTCTGTTATTAGAGTGCCTTTCTTTTCACTTACAAAATAAATGAACAAATGCTCACAGTTTTTTTTGTAGGCCTTCTCCAAAGCCTTGTCAAAACCAGTGTGAGTTTTTCCAGTAAATTCAGGCGTGTGTCAGGCCCTGTATTTCTACTAGACCCAACTAGAGACAAATGGAGCAGAAAGTGTCTGCTAGTAACACGGGATCAGTAACTGGCAGATTAATTAAAGAAGTCCCATTCTGAAATGGGTTTTCTTTTAAACAAGATTAGAACTCCATTTATGCTCATCCAAACTTTAAATCCATTCCATATTCCAGTACAAACCTTTGAATTCTCTTTATGAAGAGCAAGTACAATTTGCATCCAAGGTCTCATGTAAAGATTAGAGTAAAGAATGTGACCTGCCTACTTATAATTTATGAACAGTTCAGCTAAACTACATTTCTGAATTTTAAAGCAAATTCGGCAATATAATAATTGTATCTATTCATGCTATTTGTAATTTCCAAGTGGTAAATCATCATTTGTAAGAAATGCGCTCAATCAAGGAAGAAAAAGACATATAATTATGTCGTTTATAATGAATTCTGAAGGAAACAAAGACTTTAAGAAGGAAAACTCTGGAGAAAACGAAAGAATAAAATCCAGCCCAATAATATGGGTTGCTCCTAAAATGCATAGCTGATCAAACATTTGCATTTATAATATGAAACTCAGTCTCAGATAATTCAGCAAGGGAACTGTCAAAACTCAGGAGTCTAGGCAAACAAGGCCTGACTTTTATTAGATAAATTACACACTCTTTTCTACTTCGACAAGCATCAATGGTATCAACTTTTTTGACAAATAGCTCTCTCCTGGGTACTAGTTTTGAGCATCTCTGCTAATCTTCATCTTTTGAAGTGTCCAAAGGATTAAAATCATATGTCAATAACAGTGGCCTCTCACCTTTATATGGAAGATACCACAGTCCCTTTCTAATAGCTAAGTCTGTAATGTAGGATGAGATGTATAAATGCTAAGAAACCACTGTGGCACCCTCACTGCAGAAATATGTGGATTCAGGAAAGATGCTCTCTTACTGTAGGACTTTTGAGTAGTTGATATTGTCTGGGAGAATTGGGTGTAGAATCCTTTACATTTTGCTTTGGTTTTGCAAACAGCACTGATTGCAAAGTCACATATCCTTCACATAAGGTAAATAAGAAAGGAAGGACAAAATAATGTGCGTTAGTTTCCTATTGAAATTTCTGTCTGCTTTCTAGATTTATAGGGCATGGAATTAGTTTTACTGCAGGCAGCTTCAGAAAATGCACTAATTAATCTTTATTCTTACCACAAAGATAATATATATTAGGCCTAACTCCTCTCACCTTGGTGTAAATCAGGAATGATTTGAAGGTGGTGGAATTACACCAGTGTAAAACTAGAGAAAGAATAATCAGCCTGCATGTATGCGTATGAGAGTAATGATGACAGAGGGTGAGTAATAGACAAGACAGGAATAACACTTTAAAACCAAGGTAGCTTACTTTGGTGAAGCTGAATCGGGCATAAATGTTGTACCTGTTCAATCTTAACCTGCAGTAAATGAGTCTAGGCTGCAGTAGTTTCCCTGTTTCATTTAGGGGTAATATAATGAGGGTTAGGGCATAGACAGTGTAAGAGGCTAATGTGTAAGAAAGGGAAATCAAAAAAAAGAAAACCCTTAAGTCTTGTCCGTGGTTTACTCTCCTGCAAGCCTTGATGGGAGAAAAATGTATAAGTTATCACACGGAGGACTCCTCTTGGTGTTTACACATTCTATATTCTCTTTCTTTATTTCTTTTACACATCTTTGCCCACATCAGGTCAAAACAGAAAGAAAAAAGAAAAAAACCTTGCGTGCTATGGCTCAGATTCTTCCAACAGTATAACACAAACAGATAAGCAAAGTCCCAAATAGATTGCCCATAGTCTCAACCTTTGTAGAGAGGGATTACTCTTGCCCCGTCTCTGTTCTTCTTTAGTGATATGTCTCACTGCTGTTTGTAAGGTCTCTCAACTTACAAATAACCCCAGTTACTTTCGTCTGGGAGCAAAATGTCCCCTCTGTCCGCCTTCAGCTCAGTCAGCAGTCACTGGGCTTCTCACCCTATGTGCTGACTCTCCTTCACTCTGTGCCTCCACATGAATCACTCCGGTTGTCACTTTAGCAGAACTCAGTTTCCCTTCCAGGGGAAGGTTCAGTCTTTCCTGCTTACTTATCAGCGAGTTGTTTCCCATGAGTCATTGCTTCATTACTCTCCCCTGCAGGTGCAGTCAAGTGTCACTGCCACCGTCTGATGATGTCATCATTTTTCTGGCCACTCGCAGCAGCTGCAGTAAGTATTGTTTCCTTATTCCATAAGTAACAGGAGGATGGCCTCCCTGTTACATACCTCCCCCTTCAGTTAAAAGTCCAAATATTACATTTCTGTTATTCTTCTATTGTCCACCTCACATAACTACCTCTGGTGGCTCCAGGCATGTTATCTCTTTAGGGTCTAAAGATTGTGACAGAAAGTCAGCTGCTATGTTCTTCTTTCCAGCTTGGTGTTCTACCGAAAAATAGAATGGTTGTAATGCAAGAGCCTAGGGCATTAGTTGGGCATTATCGGTTTTAGCTGTCTGCAGCCATTTGAAGGGTGCATGATCAGTAATTAATATGAATTTTTGTCCCAACGAATAATAACGAAAAAGTTCCACCCTCCATCTTATGGCTAAGCATTCTATTTCTATCGTAGAATAGCGTGTTTCTGGTTTAGACATTTTTTTGCTCACATGTGCTATATGCCTTTCCTCCCCCTGAAATAATACTGCCCCTAACACCTTCCCCGAGGTGTCAGTTGTAAATAAAGAGTCTCTTGAAACTTAGGGGTATATAAAACAGGTTCTTTACAAAGCAGCTGTTTAATTATGTCAAACGCTCTCAGGGCTTGCTTTGTCCACTGCAGCTGTCTGGGCTTACCCCTCGTCATATCTGTCAGAGGTGATACTACCTCTGAAAGCTTCTTGATAAACCTGCGATAACAATTAGCGAAGCCTAAAAATGATCTAAATTGCTTCAGCATCTTGGGTAACTTGTATCTGTGTATAACCTCCACTTTGTCTGCTACAGGCTTTATGTATTCCTGCCCCACTTGGAACCCAAGATATTGAGTTTCCTCTTGGCCCAAGCTACATTTCTTTGGATTTGCAGTTAGTCCTACATCCCTTGGTTTCTTTAAAATGACAATGTGGCTCCCTGTCAGCAGAGAAGATTATGATATCATTAATGTATGCATCTGCATACGTTTGATGTGGGGCCAACGTCCTGTCCATTAAACACTGAAATGATGCTGCTGCACCATGCAGCCCAAATGGCATTCTGTTGAATTGAAATAACCCCCACAGCATACCAAATGCTGTTTTTTCTTTATCCATTGGGGTCACTGGAATTTGCCAGTAACCCTTTGTAAGGTCTAGCATTGAAATGTATTTGGCCTGACCGATTTTCTCTAGCATCTCCTCAACTCTTAGCATCAGGATCACGTCAAATATGGCTACTTCGTTTACTTTCCTGAAGTATACACACACCCTAATATTCCCATCCAGCTTAGGCACAATAATAAGGGGGGCCTTCCAGGGGCTACGGGATTCTTCTATTATTTCTAACTGTAACATCTGTGTAACTTCTTGTTTAACGGCTTGCCATAAATGATGAGGCAACCGCCTCCAGTGATGCCTTATAACGCAACCTTCCAGTGTTCTAATACTATGCTCCACACCTTTAGCTTTGCCTGGTTTTTTGCTAAATACATCTGGGAACTCTTGTACCAGTCATTTTAACTCTTGCTTCTGAATACCCGAGAGTGTCTTTCCTATCTTAGGCTCTCCATTTGTAAATTCTGATAATATAGGGTCATCCAAATCCTCTGACTCTAGACCTCCTTGCATCAGCCATGCATCTCTCTCATTCCACTTCTTCAAAAAATTCACCTGGTAATTCTGTTTTCTTCTTACTGGGCTAGTCCACTGTACCTTATAGTTCACTGGTCCTAGCTTTTTAGTTATTTGGAATGGCCCCTGCCAATGTGCTAACAATTTGTGGCTATTATCAGGTAGCATGACTAGTACCCAGTCTCCTTCTTGTAGCTCTCTATCTTTTGCATGGGTGTCATATGTCTGTTTCTGTCTCTGTTGACTGCATTCTAAGTTTTCCTGAGCTAGTGTTCACACCACCTCTAATCTTTCATGGAAGTCCTGCATCAAACGTGGTTGTCTCCCTTCACCTTGTCAGTCCCTCCAACCAACCTTCACAAAAAACATCAAGTGAACCCCTAGGCTAATGTCTGTAGACTAATTCAAAAGGGGCACAACTAGTAGAGCCTCTTTAATGGCTCTTGTGGAGCCTCTTTAATGGAAAACAACAATGAGGAATTACGGATTCCCATTTTCTTGGGTCCCCTTGAATACAGATTCTTATCATCCCCCTAAGCATCCAGTTAAACTGTTCAAGTAGACTGGGGTAGGCAACATTTTTTGGCCGGAGTGCTGAAAAAACCACAGTGTCTACCTTGGAAGGTGCCAGAGTGCTGACATGCCAGAGCCTGCAGCAGCTGTTTGCAGCCTCCCAGCTGAAGCCAGCCCACGGAGCCTGGTCTGCTTGCAGCAGGGCTTGCAGCCTCCCAGCCACCTGCTGGGAGTATCCTGGGCTCCGTGGCTGGCAGCAGCTGCTTAGAGCCTGAGCTGGCAGTAGTGTGCTGAGCAAAATGGCCTTATGTGCCATGCTCGGCACATGTGCCAGGGGTTGCTGACCCCTGAACTAGACCATCCATCTGGGGGTGATAAATGGAGGTTCTTAACTGTTTTATCTTCAGGGTCTGGCAAATACCATGTAAAACTCCTGATATAAATGACTTTCCTTGTTCTGTTAAGTTTTCTTGAGGAAGCCCCACTCTTACTACCCACTTTACCAACTTCTCCGCTACTTTGGGGGCTGTAATAGTCTTCAATGGGATGGCCTCTGGGAACCTTATGGTATAATCTACTATTACCAGTACATATTGATAGCCTGTACTACTTATTGGAAAAGGGCCTGTGGTGTTTAATGTGATTCTTTCAAAAGATCTTGTTATGATAGGCATTGATACCAGTGGTACTTTCATGGGTTTATACCCTGACACACACTGACACTCAGGACATTCCTTATTAAACTTTTCTACAATCTTGTAGAATCCTGGCCAAAACATTCTCTGTTTTAATCTAGCTTCAGTCTTATCTAGGCTTAAATGAATGCCCATGGGAAGTGTATGGGCTATTTTCAACTTTTACATCCAATATTGCCTAGGCACCAGAATTTGTAAAATGTTGTTCCCGCCTTTACCCTTGTCTAATCTATATAAAATGCCATCTCTTATGTCAAAGTATGACATTGTATCTGCTAACCTGGAGTTGAGTACTTCCTCCTGTCTCTTGGCTAGGCTTTCTTCAAAGATGTTCTGAAATAATGGTTCCTGCTCTTGGTGTTCTCTAAAGTGCCCACCTCCAATGATAGCGTCAAGGTCTATCTCCTCTTTCTCTTCTTCTCTCTGTTCCTCTCCTTGGGGTCCCATCCCCACAAAGACTCCTTCTACTTGTCTTAAATATTCTTGGACTTTTAACTCACTCTTCTTCACTCTGTGACTCTCAGGCTTTTCACTACTGCTTCTTTCAAATGGGGCCAATCTGTTCCTAAAAGCATAGGATAAGGAAGTGACTTGGCTCATCCCACTGCTGTCTTCTTGGTCTGACCTAGCACTGTTAGACTTAACTTCTTCCTCTGGTAAGTGTATGAGGCTACATGTATACAGACCATATTTACAGGTGTTTCCGGTTTCCCCACCAAGTTTGCAATTAAATCTGACCATATCATAGTCTGGGTGCACCCGGTGTCTACAATTGCAGGCACTACCAAATCTCTTATCTTCATTTCTACTATGGCTTTAGCCTTATGCCAAGGTCCTTTATGTTTCCCAAAACTGCAATCCATTTGTTTTTCATGGGGATAATTATGTATCCCCTCATTTACACTCTTCTTATTACAAAACCATGCTATATGGCCCTTTTTGCCACATCGGGAACAAATGACCTCTCTTGGTTCCCAGCTTTTATTTTCTCTCGCTACTGGTTTCCAACTTTCGTTCTTCATTCCCTTATCCCTATTATCTTGTCTCATCATAGGCCCCATATTTCCTGTTCTTTCTCTCTTAACAGGTTCTAGATCTATCACAGCATTCATATAATCTTCTGCCACTTTCAGTGCTTCAGCCAAAGACCGAGGTAGGTGTCTTTTTACCCATCTTTGTGTATTTCTCCCTAGATCCTTCACAAATTGCTCTAATACTATGAGATCTAGCACTTCCTCGACAGTTTTGCCAACCAGCTGTATCCAAAGGGTTACTGAGTCGCTTAGGATTTGAGCCAACAGCCTGGGCCTTAATTCTTCTGGCTTTTTCTTGGCTCTAATGTGCTGACTATAGGCCTCTGGAGATATCTCCAGTCTATACAGTATTGCCTCTTTTGCTGTCTCGTAATTCCTAGCTTCTTCCTTCAACAGAGCCCTGTAGGCTGCTTGTGCTGGCCCACTTAAAAGGGGTCCTAGTTGTATAGCACAGTCTTGGTGGTCCCATCCTGCAGCAATAGCTGCCCTCTCAAAACCTTCTAAAAAATCCTCTACATCATCAGAGGAAGTCATTTTTGGCAGTTTGGTTCTTCCCCCATCTGATTTATGCCCAACTGTCGTGCTTCTAACTTTTCACTCAGTTATTGCTGTCTAGAAAAAATCATTATGCAAGCTTCAGCTTCTTGTGCCCGCACTCTTACTAATTCTTCCATCTGTGCCTGTTGTCCTTGTAAAAGATGAATAGCAACAGCATGTGCTTTTTGCCAGTCTGCAGGAGGTTGAGGATCGATGCTCATCTTTTCCATCTAGTTTCATTTCCCAGCCAATGCACCAAAATTGTGTAATGTGTAAGAAAGGGAAATAAAAAAAAAGAAAACCCTCAAGTCTCGTTCATGGCTTACTCATCTGCCATGCCTTGATGGCATCCTTATAGGCTCGGCAGTGCTACGCTTGCTAGCACTACGGAAGAAAGAGACTTGGGGGTCATGACCGACCACAAGATGAACATGAGTCTTCAATGCAATACTGCAGCTAGTAAAGTGGGAAAACGCTGGCTTGCATCCATAGATGCTTCTCAACAAATCCCAGGACGTCAGTCTCCCCTTGCACTCGACCTTGCTGAGGCTGCAGCTGGAGTACTGCGTCCAGTTTTGGGCCCCACAATTCAAAAAGGATGTGGAGAAGCTTGAGAGAGTCCAGAGAAGAGCCATGCGCATGATCAGAGGTCAGGAAAACTGACCTTATGACAACAGGCTGAGAGCTATGGGGTTTAGCCTGGAAAAGCGCAGGCTCAGGGGTGATTTGATGGCCACCTATAAGTTTATCGGGGTGACCGCCAGTATCTGGGGGAATGTTTGTTCACCAGAGCGCCCCAAGGGATGATGAGGTTGAATGGTTATAAACTACTGCAAGACCGGTTCAGGCTGGACATAAGGAAGAATTTCTTTACTGTCTGAGCCTCCAAGGTCTGGAATAGCCTGCCATCGGAGGTGGTTCAAGCACCTACATTGAACACCTTCAAAAGAAAATTGGATGCTTATTTTGCTGGGATCCTATGACCCCAGCTGACTTCCTGCCTTTCGGGCGGGGGGCTGGACTCGATCTTCCGAGGTCCCATCCAGCCCTAATGTCTATGAAATCTATGAAAAATGTATAAGTTATCACACAGAGGACTCCTCTTGGTGTTTACACATGCTATATTCTTTTTCTTTCTTTCTTTTACACATCTTTGCCCACATCAGGTCAAAACAGAAAGAAAAAAGAAAAAACCTCATATGCTATGGCTCAGATTCTTCCAACAGTATAACACAAACAGATAAGCAAAGTCCCAAATAGATTGCCCACAGTCTTAGTCTTTGTAGAGAGGGGTTACTCTTGCCTCATCTCTGTTCTTCTTCAGTGATACGTGTCACTGCCATTTGTAAGGTCCCTCAACTTACAAATAATCCAGTTACTTTCGTCTGGGTGCAAAATGTTCCCTCTGTCTGCCTTCAGCTCAGTCAGCAGTCACTGGGCTTCTCACCCTATGTGCTGACTCTCCTTCACTCCATGCCTCTGCACAAATCACTCTGGTCATCACTCTAACAGAACTCATGGTTCCCCTTCTCGGGGAAGATTCAGTCTTTCCTGCTTACTTGTCAGTGAACCATTTCTGGTGAGTCGTTGCTTCATTACTCTCCTCTGCAGGTGCAGTTAACATTGCCACCGCCATCTGATGACATCATCGTTTCTCTGGCCACTCCGTAGCAGCTGCGGTAAGTATCACTTCCTTATTGCATAAGTAACAGAAGGATGGCCTCCCTGTTACAGGCAAACAAAAGTTACACCACTTTTAAATAGGTTGATGGGAAGACTTATGGTGTGCAGATGAACCCAACATAATTGTTTTAATATGACTGGAGCATACCAAAAAAACAGTTACAGCAGATTAGCTGTAAGTTACTGAGAGGTAAGTTGTCTGTTCTTTAAAATGGTACATTTCTCCATGCCCTTAGTCTTGCTTTTGGGGGTAGTTGGATTTCCTGGTTAGGGTACTTTGTTGAAGTTGAGTACATCACTCTCTTCTTCCCTTCCTTGTGTAGTAAATTCATACAATAGATTCAGACTTCATTTTGCAGCAAACAGCATACATGTAGTCTGTTCTTATTGTTTGCAGGTAAAGTCAAGTCACAAATGATAATGTATGTGTGTACATATGTATGTCTGCATGGTTTCTTTTTGGGAAGTTGGTGTAAGAGCAATGCTTTGTTTAAGCTGCTTTTATTGTATGGTAGTACTTGGGTGCTGGCTGCATGCGCATGATTATCATACTACTCTGGAACTTAGGAAACCTGGGTTTAGTTTCTTGCTCTGCCATCAGTTTTTTCTGTGATCTTGAGCAAGTAACTTGTACTTTACCACTGTGTCTGTTCCTTTAGAAAATGAGATTAATAGTATTTTCTATCTTACAGGGGTGTTGGGAGGACAAACCCTTCTGAGGCATTTAGATGTTATCATTATGGGGGCCATATGTAAAGGAGAGATTGACTAAAAGTACTGGGCTGGGATTTTATTTCCGTTTTCATACACTATTACAGAACACACTGATTTCAAAGGCACGTATCCCTAATATAAAGGCTAATGGCCTGCATGTTTTGCTTTTGACTTTAGTGGGGGAAGGTTTCACGCTACAGGTATAATGTCTCTCTGGGTGTATTTTAACTCAGTGATAAAAGATCATTTTAATTACTTTATCAGTTGAAAGCAATTTATTAGGTTAAAGCAACCCTAGTAAACCTGTTTCTGCTTGTGGGCCTAATCCTGATCTGCCTTATGGAGGATTCACATTGGTTTGCTTTGACCCCTTTTTCTGGTTTGACTTCAGTGAAGTTATTCCTGTTTTCCACTCTTTATTCTGGTGTTATTCTTGCCAAAGCCTTTGAATTCTTTTTAAGTCATCATTCAGGCCTGAATTAGAGAAAAGTGCTATCACCACAACTGCTGTTGCTGCTGTTTTGCTAATGTTATTGCAGTACTGCCTGTCAAAAAAATAGTCCCCAAAAATACTGTATTGTCAGTTTTGACTGCCATCCTGAAAAAACAATGCACATTTTCAAAAAAAAAAATGACAGCTGGTCTATCTTCATCTCCTGATGAACATAATTAAAAAACCAAGAACAACTACCATATAGAATACAAGAGTAAAAAACTTGCACAATAGACAAAAAAATTCTGTCCAATGATTAACTTGATCCTTAAATTCAAAACATACCCTTTAGCCTGGAGGTTCCCAAGCTATGGGAAGTACCAAATTTGAGTTACTTGATAAGCTGGTAACTCACTGGTGAGCTGACAAGAGTTAGCTAGTTATGGGGTATTGATTTTTCTTAGTGTTTTCATTTGCTAAATTGCATTAAAACCTAGGTAAAATGTATTGAATAGTCTTTCATGTAAACAAATAGGAAGGGAAACTGCAGCTCTGAGAGAGAGAGCAAATGAATAAGGGAACATGATTTTTTTTTTAGTTTAACCTACACTGTGCATTGGAGCATGTGCTAGAGACCTAGGGGGAAGATTTTTGCTGATCCCTTACTTGCATATTTTGTCGTTTCTAAGAGGAAAGCCCAAAGTTAACCTCATTCTGATACATTTTCAGAGGAACCCTTTGTGACTGGGAGAATTCCTGTTGTATTGTGGAAGAGTATGTGTCCAAGAATAGATAAAACAGTGAGCAGCGGAAGGTTTAGATTTCAGATTAGTGAAACTAGGGTTGTGTACCATCTTTGCAATTGGTTGCGTGTCAAAGCCTTTCTGCTTGGCACAAGCCATAGTACTCATAGCCTTGGTGTTCAGCTTTTTGTATATCCTCCCATTAAGCAGAAAGTCCCTTCAAGGTCACTGTTCTGGTATAATGAAAGCCATCTTCAGCACTGGCCCTGTGTCCCTGAAAATCCTGTTTCTTTTTTTGAACATAACTTCTCATGATAGTTAAGTTGAACCACTAGAGCTACAAAATTGACAGTGAGTAGAGAGGCTGTTTCTGTAGGAAACAAAACTTCAAAAGAGCTGTCTCAAGAAACAACAGGAGTGGCTGTGGATAAATCTTTCTCAGAACTAAATGAAAAACATATTTCTGTGACCTGGATTTTCTTCAGTATCTCTTCATAGAGCTGTAGTGCATCCACTTCCCTTGCACAAACATAAACTAACACACGCCAAACCACTCATCCCATTAAGCTATTTCTCTTAAAAATGTGGAAAGGAAGAGAAATTATTTTTGTTCTGGAATGTTTAAGTGGCTTTTGGTCAGTTTGGAAGTATGGGCCACATAAATATCTGGATAGATCTAATGAACAGTAACACAACTTCAGGTGTTGATGGCCCTTGCCTTACACCCCATTACGCCTCCTGTTCCTCTTTCTTTAAGCAAATTTTTATAAGGCCTGTTGTAGAGTTATATGGAGCCACAGAACTTAGAGCAGTTGGTCCCACCTGTGTGCATTGTATTACAGCCCAAACAATCTGCCACACAATTGTAAAGAGTGGTAGAGAGCTGGAAATCTGATAGTAAGTCAGATTTGGAGAGACAGCAAGATTAGTGGCTCTAAGTTTTCCGCTATGGAGAACTGCCAGAGGACAACTCCTTCTCTTTCTATGAAGTAACAATGGGGGATTTCCCTAAACATCTGGCTGCTGGCTGGCTATCTTGAAAATACAGCCTGAAAAAGCTATCTGCCAGATATGCACAGCTGTGTGTCAGTTTGTCACTGCTGAACTATCCACAGCATCTGCCAAATGCCAGGTTTTGTTCTATTTTTTTTGGTTTCTTTTTTTTTTTTTACTTATGGAATCCATTAGAGGGATAAAATCCACTAAACAATACCAAATACTATTTAACAGTGGTTGCCAACTTATTGTAATAAGTAGTAAAGAAGGGTTCCATAGTTTATAGTGTCTGAACATAGCATGGTTTTCTTACTGCTTCATATTGGTCACCTTAAGTGATTGTTTACATGCCATTTCATTGAAAAGCCATTGAAATAGTCCAACCCCATTGTTGTAGATCAGTGGGGGCCAATGTTTTTGAGACATGTCACAAATTAGCCCCACACCCTCTCCAACTGTCACTCTAACCCTCCTCCATTGTCCAATCTCCTGCTATGCTTTCTGTTCCCCATTTTGTGCTCTCTGCCCAATATACTGCTCTGCTTTCTGCTTCCTGTGATGTCTGCTGCTGTGGTACTTGTCACCTCCCTGATCTATCGCTTGCCACACAGAGAGGCTACCCATGCTGCTTGTGGCACTCATGCAACAAGTTAGCCTTCCCAGTATAGATCACAAGAAACAGTTTAATTACTTTCTTTCTTCCCGGTTCTCTATTTTTGTTACCATCTTCCCAAGTTTCAGTTTGAGAAAATAAGTTGTGAAGAATTTATGCTACAGGAATGGTTTTCACTACTAAGGAGACAATGTCTCCTCAGCATTTATCAAACATATTTTTGGTAGTGCCATTTGGAATGGGTTATCCAGAAATCTAGAGATCTCGAAGAAATACTTGATAACTTCTGAATTCTATTCAGACCTCTCCATTTATGCTTAATTTCTTTTCACAACATTTACTATACTAAATACATATAACTGTAGATTGATGGGATTAGAATCCCTATTTTTTGTGGTTCCACGTATCTGTAGTTGGATACTATAGGGAAGTATGCTGTAGAAAAACTGATGGAGACAATTGTATGCATCTTGAAAGAATAGTTGCATGGACATTAATCTTCCTAGTCTTACCTCCACATCACAGTCCTCAGTGGTTTATTAGATATCAGTATCAGTGAATTTTTCATAAATTGAGTGTACATTTTCTTTCCTGAATTTAGTCTTCATTTGGACCATATTCTGCACCTCAATGTCTTAAATGGTAAAAATCCAAATAGTTTATTTCTCTTTCCTGGGTTTTACTTTTCTCATCCTTGCTAGCTTCCTAAGTTATTAGCTTGCCAAGCAATTCAAATGTGGTACTTTTAAGTCCCCTGTTCTCTGTCCTATCCATACCCCCAAAACACCCCTGTCAACTCCTAATTCATTTTTCTTTGTTGAAGTCCCTCCATTTTACATAATACTATACTAGCACTGCAGGTGTCCTAAAAATTGAATGCAATTTATTCTCATCTTAGTCTCTTCAGTGCCAGATAGGAAGGGACTATTGCCTCAATTCTCTAGATTATTTGGTGTCCCTCTATATACTGTCCCAAATTTCAGCAAAATTAAATCTCCTCCACTCTGCATGTTGTATTAAAAGCTCATTTGAAATTTGCTGTTCACTATCAGCCTTAGGTTACAACTTCCCATCTCTCTCCTAACCACTGAATACTTGTTTTACATTATTTTCCCACAGATGGTATTAACTACATGTATCTAGGGTTGATTCTCATTTTGATGTTCCCTGACCTTATTTTCCTAGATCCATTTGCATTGGATCTCTCTTCTAGCTCATAAATAAAGATAATGTAACAGACCCCGCAGCAGGGTGTTGTGATAAACCAGTCCCTCATTGTTTGGAAACATGCTGGGTGTTGCATAATCTTGTAGGCACTAGACTTCTTGTGCCCTTGCCTTCAGTGAGTTCCCAAAAATACTCACTCTTGATTAACAGAATTAACATATTAGAGCTGCTAGAAGTAAAAGGTGCAAATACTGTAGGCACAATGGTTACAATAAAAAACATAAACCCAACCAGCTTCAAAGGGCGGTTAAGTCCTAAGGTATAACAGCA